AGATTTTTTCAGTAATGTTTGTTTCAGTGATGAAGCAACATTCATCAGGAATGGTAGTCTCAATAGGCATAATTGCCACTATTGGTCACCAGAAAATCCACATTGGTATCGTGAGGTGCTTAATCAACATCGTTGGAGTTTACACATATGGGTAGGCATTTGCAATGGCGAAGTCATTGGACCTTATTTTTTTGAACATACAATTAATAGTCCAATATATTTGGAATTCCTCGAAAATGATTTGCCAGCATACCTAGAGAATGTTCCCCTTGCAGTTAGGTTAGGTTCTCCTTGCAGTTAGGTAGACTAAATTTATGGTATCAACAAGATGGTGCTCCTGCTCATTATGCTCGTATTATACGGATGTTTTTGAATCAAAGATTCCCAAATCGATGGATAGGGCGAGGTGGACCAGTTCTGTGGCCTCCGAGATCACCGGATCTCAACCCCCTTGATTTCTTTTTATGGGGATACGTTAAAGATGCAGTGTATAGTGAAGCTCCAACGACAAGATTGAATATGATGGAAAGAATAAGAAGAGCTTGTGAAGCGATAACTCCTTTAATGCTTGGAAATGTACAACGTAACTTTCGCCGTCGATTACTGTTATGCTTAGAAAATAATGGTGCACATTTTGAGCATCTCCTCCATGCGGAGAGAGCTGATAAGGGGTATCATTGGACATCAGGAACGAGTTCAACTCCCTTCCGTGGGAGACGATTGGAATGGCGCTATGGGAGCACCGCGTGCCTCCCTACCTCAGAAGAATAGTGCGGGCGTATCTGGGGTGCAGGCGGCTCTCGTTTCCGGTGGAGAGCGGGGAGACGGCGACTGGTTGTTCCGTCACCTGCTATGCGGACGACACTTTGATCCTGGCGGCTGATGAGAACTAAGAGGAGGTGAAGATCTACCAACGAAGTCATCTCCTCCGTGATAGAGAAGATGAAGGAACTCGGACTGGAAGTGGCTCCGAACAAAACAGTAGGCAGGATTCAATAACCGTGGAAGGCCGGCACCATCCATGGAAATGGAAGTGAAGGTGGCGGGAGTGGAGGTCCAGGTTGGGACCCGGATGAAATATTTGTCTCATCCTAGATAGCAAGTGGCGATTTAAGGCGCATTTCAAGGAAATAGCTCCAAAGATGGAAAAGACTGCTATGGCTCTCAGTGGGCTTTTTTTACCCAATCTAGGCGGGCCCAACGGTAAGGTACGGCGACTGTATAACTACGTCGTGAGCTCGGTGACCCTATACGGAACGCCGGTCTGGGCCCCGGAGGTGCGTAGCAACCGAAGGGTACAGAGCGTACTACGTGCCGCCCAAAGGAGAATGTCAGGTCGCGTTATTAGGGCGTACCGAACGACGGCCCACTCCGTCAACGTGGCCCTTGCTGAAATGCCGCCACTTAAATTAGCAGCACAGGTGCACCTGGAGGTGTACGAGAGAGTAGCGGAATTGAAGGAGGAAGGAAATGACCCAGTGTCGGTTCAAACAATAGAGTCCATCAAAAGCGTGGCGAGGAGGAGATTGATGAAGAAATGGGAGGAGTGGCTGCCTCGGACAAATCGTGGTGGGAGCGGAATCCTCGACACGATGAGGCCCCATCTGGAGAAGTGGATGGACACGCGGGCAGGATTGACCTTCCATGCGACGCAGGTGCTCACCGGCCATGGCTGTTTTGGCTGGTATCTGCGCCGCATCGGCAAGGATAGCGAAAGGTGCTGGCACTGTGCCGCACTCTGCGACACAGCTGGCCATACGCTTCGGGATTGCCTCGCGTGGGCGGAGGAGAGGGGTCGGCTGATCAGTATTATCAGGCCGGACCTGTCCTGGCCCGCCGTTATCCGGGCC